ATGGTGGCTGGCTGGCTGGCTGGCCGGCCGGCCCCGTGGACACGTGGCATGTTGGACGACTGCAGACGGATGCTCCATCTCTGGGAGCCTTCAGCTACAGAATGCCTGTACAGTATTCTCTGTAAAAACCTGCAATCACCTTACAGTGCAAGGCGAGCAGGCTGCGACTGGAATGTGCGCCACGTATGCGCCCTTCATGTCAGAGATGTTTTCCAAAGTAGCTCTCCTTTGATAACCATTGATGTGTGAAGTTCATGGATGTCACACAGCACCTGTTCCCTTTATCTTGCATTTGGGTGTTTACATTTTTTTCTGACCTATAAGATAACAATTAGAAGACTTGTACAGCCATGTGGGAAGTGTTGTGGTTGAAAATAGAGCAAATAATCCTGAAGAGTATTGCACCATTATTTTCTCTAACCCTATAATTTCCTCTCAGGGTCATAGTCTTTTCCCAGCATGCATTGGTGATCCTCTCAACTTGCCTTTCTCTGGCAGGCATGTTCAAACACTCTTCAATTCATCAATATACTCTTGGAATGACCATCAGTAGGTCAAAATAATAGGTTGTTTTTCCTCGAGGGGACAATATTCAGCCCCTAGAATATCATGATTGATGTGTCTGAGGGACTGATATTTATCTGGAGCCTTTGGCCTACAGGGATAAATGTCTACCTTGCGTTTCACACTACCTATCCATTAGATGAGAAGATCCTTTTTGTTGACCAGAAAAAACAGACCCAGTGTTTGTTTTCTAATCCACGCTGTCTGTCCCCATGATACAAAATCCATCCATCATGTTTGGAGGTTTGGGCCACTATTTCCTGCTTTTTATACTCACGTACACAGGACAAAAATACCTATTGCACCGATGAGTGAAGAGCTGTTGCAATCTCTTTAGCAAGTTGAGGCAGTGGTGGGTGCAGATAAGACAGCAGGATGGTACAGTCAGAGATGTGGATGACGTTAAAGCTTGCTTAGGAAGCGGTGGGAGCCGATCAGTGTACCGGTGTCCATGGCCAAAGTTGAGTGCACACGGAAACCTGAGCTCGGCACACACTTATGACTCATTTCCTCAGCTGGAAACAGAGGGATGCCTCCTGTGGGGCGGGAAACAAAGACTCCCTCCTGGACACATCTTGACACACCACTGCCTATGGATCACATCTGGCTGATACCCAATTTGAGATAAGGTGCTTACACTCTCTGTCCGTGTGCCGATGAATCAAACCCGAGTATGTGCCTCAAAGATAAATTCAAAAAGTTTCGCATAAAAGCTTTGTAAGTCGTGCCAGGAACTGCCCTCCTCTGTGACCTTTTTACACACTGACACACCACATTGCCTCATGTGTTTATTCAGTTTTACTGTCTGTGCAGAGCCGTAGCTCAGAATACATTCAGCCTCTGCTTTTGTGTCTTGAGCGCCATACTGCGTCAGAGCTCACCACAAAGCCAGTAATGATGAGAGGCACCCTGAAAGCTGTTTTAATTTCAAGCTCAAGGCTCTGTTAACAGGATGGATGTCCTTTACGTCCAGTCCCCCTCCCTCCTGGTTGCTTTGTCACTGTTGTCATGAGCGCTGGAGCCAGCCAGAGAGGAATCCCAGGAATCTTTTTTTCGGTTGACCTGGCTCTTATGTAGAACTGAGGAGTAACGGCGACATTGTCTAAGGGGCAGCCCTCTCATGCTCCCTGGCTCCTCTTTAATAGTGAATTTCAGCCCCTGCATCCCGTATAAGAATAGTCTGTGGCCCTCACGGTGCATGAGAAAAACATTTATATCAAACAGCTGCTGTGTTGCCCATCACCATTTAACTGAATTATTCAGCTTTAATAAACTTTGCCAAGAGAGAACTACTGAGCAGACATAGATTAATAGCAGTTTACAGTGGAGTGGGAGGCAGTGTGTTAAACTCACCAGCAGTGACAGGGTTAATCATACCCATATGGTGTACCAAGAGGTTTGGTCCAATGCTGCTGTGGGCCAACAGGAGAGGGAAGGCTGGGTGGGGGCAGAACAGAAGGGAGAGGACAGCAGGGCAGACACTCTCCCAACACCTGCACCTGGTCACTTGATTCACACTGAAACAGCCTCAAACTCCCTTTAAAGGATCATTTTAAAGGACCAACATCTTGATCACATCTCGGTGATGGTTGCTGCCATCCAGGCTTAAACTTTTTTTTTTTTTGTGGAGAGTGGAGCAAGCGTTCAGGGATCAGCTGTGGGTTTTTGTTTAATGTTTCATGGAAGAAATGCCGTCGGTTAATAGCGACTGATCACACAGGCAGCATTTTTTTTCTCTCTCTCTCTCTCCAGGGGAATTTGCAAACCTATCGGATTGTTTTATTCCTGCGCAGCGCTGCTGAGGGACATTTTCCAATCCAGCTCCGAGGCACTAAACGCGGGGAATGCAGCGGTAACATCCCGCAAGTTTTTTGGACCTCAGAGGCGTAGCGGGCACCGAGAAAGTCCGATTTTTCAAAGGTAGGACATTTCACTTCCCTCTGGTTTAACTTTTAACTCATGTTTGGTTACTCTGTAGCGTAGTCTAAAGGGTAGATGGCTGAGGCGCACACATTTGTTCGGTTCCTATTTCTGGATGTTGAGTTCACAGGTAAGTGCGCACTCCGCGGAAAAAAAGAACTGGGCTATTCAAATACTATAATTATTTTTTTTAAAGGGAAACCATATGTTATTATAGCCGAACTTTAATCTGTCCTGCTGGAACCACCCAGCACAGAAAACCAGTAGAAATACCGTTATTCATTCAAATAAAACCAAGTACAATCAGGTCATCGTACATGCCCCACAGGCATATTTTTATATTTTAGTTCCTGATTGATGATTGTTAGATATTTTTAAGTTATTTCAATTACCTTTAGATTTTTCCATCCTCTTTTAATTTAAAGTAGATTAAATATAATGTGTAGGACATGATTTTTATACTGAGACATAGACATTTTGCCCTGTTGCCTAACCATTTTTAGGAATACTATTCCAATAGGGCTTAAAATGTATCTGTGATGTTCACATGCTCATGTGTTAATTTTCACTATGATTAGATGAATAATTCAATTTTTGGTGAAAATGTTTAATAATTTATTTATTTGTTTCCATAAACTGATCCAGTGCTCTTCTAATGGACGAGCCTCTCCTTAGGTGACAAATACCTGTGACTCCTTTATGACAAGAAATGTGTGTCCACATCAATTTGAGTACACATCTCATGGTGCATATGTATTATTAACAGTGAATATTATACAGTGTTTGATTGGAGTAATGGAGATCAAGCTTCCCTGGTGAGCAGATATATGGCAACTGTGTGATTATGCCAGGAAGCCTGTGAGGCGTTCCCAGTGGCTTCTGTTTTTAATTTCTAAATGTTCAGCATGCCAGTCACTTAAGTTTCATCATTCATGTTTTTTAATGGGGACATATTTTTACACAATGCGTCACACAAAACCGAGTGCAGTATTGTGAAATATAATGAACATTTTGTGAAATCTCACTAGTTTTTCCCCATGAATACCTCTCCCTAAAAGCCCTCATTTCCAGGCTTGTACCCTGTGCCACTGGAGGCCTTGGCTACATGGATGCCATGAGAGGAAAAAAAGCCCGTGGGATGGCTTATAGCCTGAGCAAAGCACACCTTCAGGGAGACAATTTAATGGATGTTGTGGACTCAGCTTTTAGTATTCATAATTTATATGGGATCCTCTCCAGCAAAGTGCAGATGCATAATGAATGCTTGAGTTAAGGTCTAACAGTTAGGCTACGTTTCAACACCCCTAAACTGTCAGAAATTGTTTCAGCGAGGACTACCTGTTTCTTTGAACTGTCATGTATTTCACTCGTCAACTTCTGAAAGTACGTCGACGTGCTTTGTTGAAAGACTGAGAGAGAGGCAGAGGGAATCACTGATGGGCCTTTTTTTTAAATTCACGTTTCTAGGAAAATGTGGATAAAATATATGTTTAAGAAATTGTAATATGTCTAATAATAATGCACAAGATGAAGACAAGAACACAGACAAGGAGACATTAATTTCCTTTTTCAGACTTTTTCAATGTGACTTGCAAATAGCATTATACAGTCTTGACACATACCTCACTACATTTACACTTTAAATAAATAATAGGGCTGTCATATTTTCCAGAGCAGGTGTGAAGATTTGGACGTTGTTCTCTCCTGCCAAACTATACGTCTCGCCTTGGAAGGCTGCAGGCCAAACTTCTGATCACAGAGATCAGAGAAAGAGAGAGAGAGACTCTCTTTCCTGTCCTTCCTTCTTTTTCTGTCTCATATTTCTCATGGGGCACTCTATAATAATAGTTCATTCCTCTTTCTTTTTTCGTCCAGATTTAGATCTCTGTGGGCTACCTGCATGACTGTTACCATGACAGCATCTGGAGCCCAACTCCTCCTGTTGGCCTTATGTGTTTACAGAGGCTCGGGCCTGCAGCAGTCTGCTCCGCGGGTTCGACTCTCCTTCAAAGGTGAGCTCATACAGATTAACTAAAACTCCTCTGACAGCAGGGATTGTCATAATAGTTTCTTTTACTTGTTTGGTTTCTCCCTCTAAGTCACTCGCGCACACGCAAACTCATGCACATTCCCACACACGCATCCACACCAGCGGTTATGTTTCCTCTTTATACATATGTAAAGAACGTATTTCCTGCCACATGTCAAACAGTGCAACACTGGAAACAAAAGGTGGATATTACGTGTGGTTAGTTACTGGTAGTGCCCTTCGACCAAGTTTCTCTCCACACCCTAAAACCAACACGCACTGGAGTCTGACCTGTCAGTTCTTCTTTGTTTTTGATGTCTGACATGATGACACAAGAAGGAAACACCTGAAATTTGATCACAAGAGATAAATGATATTTCAGAGCTTTAATGTTTTAGCCGCAAGGTGTGAGTTCAAAATCAGGGTGGATAGAGGTTTTTAAAGCCCTTTTTTGTAGGCATTTGGGATTTTCCCATGCAGTCTGCTCCTCGTCCTCATTATCTCTAACAGCAGAGATTCATGTTACAAATATGCGGATGACACCTTTGATCAAAACAATGCTGGATGATTATAGTTATTTCTGCGTCCCCATCACGCTGTCACTTCAAGTCCACCTGCACATGTGGACGTGCACGCTCGCAAACAAACACACACACACACGTCACACCTGAAGTAACCCGTAAGTAAGCATTAGAGGTGTGAATCAGATTTATAACATACTTTCATGTGGAGGTGAGTAAAGATGTTCTGCTCCAAGGTCAGGTCTAGGCAGCATTCACATGTTTGTTGTCTTATCTTGTTAAACTGCAGTGATTCAATGAGAAACATTTATGGTTTTGTACAATTGCAACAAGACATCTGAAGCAGATTAGAGGTGAGCTAATCATGAGATGTGTGGTTGGTGAAAACTGGCAGTTGGAGTCTACATAAGGAGTTGTTTTAAATTCAACTGATTTTGTAAGACTGAAAACAGCTGTCTACATGCTGTTCGTGGCTGTCATATACGGCAACGGTTCCATTTGAGGCTTGAGAGAGTAATTGCTGTGCATTTTTATATGACCTTTAACACTAATCCCCTTTCAGTAAACAGCTTATACACAGCAGTGTGTTTTTTTGCAGAAGGGTGCACAAACTATTAGTAGTAGTCTGACAATTACACAAGTTTGGTCTTGAACTTCATCATGTTCCTCCTTGTGTTAAGATACAGGAATTCATCTGTACAGATCTCTCTGAGGCAAATTCATGTATAAGAGCTTGTTCAGAGCAGCTGAGAGGTGTTGAATTGTTAGATTGTTGGTGAGGTTTTTCCGATAAAGCAGCCACATTCACAGTCACCCCTCCCCCCTAATACCAAACAAAAAGGAAAAAAGTTGGACTTACTCCCCAACTGTTTTCTGCCACTCCAAGGATTTATTGTTCATTGTTTGTGACACCGAGTCTCTTTGTTCCCTGAGGCGCCTGTGGAGGAGGTTTCGGGACGGCTGGAGGACATGTGACTCTTCTGAACGAATGAGCCGGTCTGAGTGACACTCTGGGGTACAGGAGCCCTGCAGAGGATAGAGATCTTACATTGTTTCCTCTGTCGCTGGGAGGTTGTGTCAGTTATACACACTTCAAAGGGATTGACTGAGTATCATTTGATAGAATTAGTCAGCATTGCTAGAAAGCAAAATGTGCAATGTAATTGAAACCATGTTTCAGAATCTCATGCCCCCACAGTGCTGTCACCAGTTTGCTCATACTTGGGATAGGCCTGAGACTAAACAGCAGTGGTCATTAGTGCCTTAGTGACAATATGTTGTCAAGTTGTAACATGAGAACTTATAGTGGCCCAGCTGAAGCTTCATACTATAATTGTGTGTCCTTCCTAGTGTTTCCCTATCAGTGTGAGAATGTTGTCAGGGGATAAGTGTTTGCTGAATGTTTACCAGATGATGGCAGTACATTGTTTGCTATTTTTGGAGAATGGAGACATGTATAGGGGTGTGGTGTTTCTACATTTAGCCTGTTCAGTGAATCCACTATGGCCCAGTGGAGCCTGGCCAGGGGCTTGTTATCCTGTGTTTACCTCTCAGGAACAGAACCGGACCTCATCCCACCTCTAAGGCTCCATCTCATGTCGTCCGGAGATCCGATTGCATAGCTTATTTTAGTGGCACCTTGGCTGCATCCTGTTAACATTGACCTCAAAAGGAAGATGGAAGGCACTTTGATGTAAATAAAGATTGTGCTTCCTCTTGAATCCCTGTAAGCCGGCTTCTGAGGGTCTCTGCGAACATTTGTCATTACATAAGCCTGCTGTCTTTACCATGCTTACACTGTGTCCCAATGTGCACATATGGTGGCCAATACCTTACCCATGACACAGATGTGTGTGTGTGTGTTGCTTGTGTTTTAAAATGATGCAATGAATTGTTGGATGGAAGAATGGAAACGAGTCACATTCGGAGGTAGAGTGCTGCACACAGTCCATTTGTCTCGCAGCAGATGAAAATTGTTCAATCAAAGCTTTCAGGAGAACAAAAAAGGAGAAACATTTTCCACTGCAGCTTGTCTTAACAGGTTACGCTCTGCTGAACACAATCCTGATCTTAAGAATTAGCTCCGAGTTCCACTGACCGTATTTCCTAAGGGACCTGCTTTTTCATCTAACTCCACTGGGCATGTGGTGCCTTAAACTCAATCAGAAAGTCAGGACACATAAAATATTGAGATCTTAAAAGCAAATATGTTTCTTAAAATGCACCAAGTTGAGTTATATTTAATCAGTGACACACATTTTCCAGAAAAGAAGTGAGAAGGGTGTTGTTCAAGGGACCGCAAGTTCATCCATGTCAGTAATGAAACATGTTAAAGGCATAAAAGGAATAATGTGAAAAGATTTTGAGAGCTAACCTTTGCTCCCCCTGCTGTTGGTTTTCCAAATGGTGTAGATGTGTTTTTTTAACAAAGCTGGAAAACTATTCACACAGAACTGATGGACACAAGGGCAGCGCGACCCTTCAGTTTCTCCTTCAACACCAGCGACTACCGCATCCTCCTGATGGACCAGGATCAGGGCCGTCTGTACCTTGGCAGCCGGGAGTATCTGGTGGCTCTGGACATGCACAATGTCAACAAGGAGCCCCTCATAGTGCGTAAAAACTCTATTTTATTAAACGCTTATATTTCGTATGTGACATTAAGTCTCTAAGTGCAATGATCCTTAATAATCCAGTATTTTCTGGTGTCTTCTGTTCTTAAAAAAAACACAGATCCACTGGCCAGCATCTGCTAAGAGAAAGGGAGAATGTCAGATGACAGGAAAGGGAAGACAGGTGGGATCATGTATTTACATCCTGCTCTTTCAAAAATCAGAGACTTGTGCTTTCAAGACGGGACAATGACGACAGAAATGTTTGAATTCCATTTGTCTTACTCCGCTTTGTCCAGGGTGAATGTGCCAACTTTGTGCGGATGATAGAGCCATGGAACCGCACCCATCTCTACACCTGTGGAACAGGAGCGTACCAACCTATCTGCACATTCATCAACAGAGGCTGGAGGGCAGAGGTGAACACAAAAACATTTACAGTTCCCCTAGTGGGACTTACCGCAAAAGTCCCTCAGCAGTAGGCCTGGAAAGCGTTGTCCTGCTAAATATTTCAGTACTACAAACTGGGACACTGATTTGTTTATGATTTCCCCATGCTCCCTTATGCCGTTTTAGTGATCTATTTTTATGCATACTTTCCCTCTGCAGGACTACCTGTTTAGGCTGGTCCCTGGGTATGTGGATTCAGGGAAAGGAAAATGTTCCTACGATCCTAAACAGGAGAACATCGCAGTTCTGATCAGTAAGACATGCTTCATTTATAGGAAGAAAATACACAAAACCTTATCAGATTCCCCATGCTACTGAATCACAACATCTCATTTTTTTTCTCATTTTTGTTCTTTTATTGCCTTCCCTCTGCAGATGGAAACATATACGCAGGGGTCCATATTGACTTCATGAGTACAGATGCTGCTCTGTTTAGGACCATGGGAGGGAGAACAGCAATCAGAACAGAGCAGTATGACTCCAGGTGGCTCAATGGTGAGTAAGTGTGGGTGTGAGGAGGTAAATGTTTCTGATTACAGGTTATGGCTCCTCTTCTTATTTGACAACCACTTGCCTCAATCCTCTCTCTGCTTATCTGTTTTTATCGTCTAGAGCCTGTGTTTGTTCAGATCCAGCAGATCCCTGACAGTGCAGAAAGGAACGACGACAAACTTTACTTCTTTTTCCGAGAGAAGAGTCTAGACTCGAGCGGTGGGGCGAGCCCCAGCGTCTTAGCAAGGGTGGGAAGAGTGTGTCTGGTGAGCCAAACCTCATCATATATGGAGTGAAAATATATGCAGCTTACCTTGTAATATGAAACGCATTGTGCGTATTGAGCCATGACCCAATTTCCTTCCTGTCTAGAATGATGAAGGAGGGCAGAAGTCCCTGGTGAACCGCTGGACGACGTTCCTGAAGGCTCGTCTTATCTGTTCAGTGATAGGAGAAGATGGAGTGGAGACACGATTCGATGAACTACGTGAGGCCACAATAAAATAAGCACTGCTTTTAAAGTGATAGTATTTTAATTGCATCTGTTTTTATCATTGTGTTATTGATTACATATCATTCCTCTTCCAGGCGATGTGTTTATTCAGCCCACACAGGATGAGCGAAACCCTATGGTGTACGCTCTCTTCACTACAGCAGGGTGAGTTTTTTTTTTTTTGTCGGTTGACAAATTCCCAACTCATCCCACCTTTTTGTGGACAATTAATGCTTTTAATTTCAGGGATAAGATGCAAGCTTTCTCCTACTTCTGCTTCTTACCTTAATTGTCTCTTTCTGCTCAAGCTCTGTGTTCAAGGGCTCAGCAGTCTGCGTTTACTCAATGGCTGATATCCGTAATGTCTTCAATGGACCCTTTGCCCACAAGCATGGCCATAATTACCAATGGACTGAGTATACTGGCAAGATTCCCTACCCACGGCCTGGAACAGTACGTTTCTGTTATATTATAAATAAAAACATCTAAATTTACATCAACAGAAAGTTTACAAATTATTTAAACACATCCCTTTCCATCCAGTGTCCAGGAGGAACCTTCACTCCTGGTATCCGTTCCTCCAAGAACTTTTCAGATGAGGCTGTGAATTTCATCAGAGCTCATCCCCTCATGTTCCATCCAGTTTATCCTATCCATCGTCGCCCCCTGGTGGTGAGAACCGGCGTGGACTACCGCTTCACTGCGCTGGTGGTGGATCAGGTGGATGCTGTGGATGGACGCTATGAGGTGCTCTTCCTGGGGACAGGTGAGACAGCTAAAGGGCTGATGGCTGGAGGATTAGTTTGGCAAGAAGATTTTGTAAAGGTTAAATGTAATTCCTCTCCCTTCCAGATCGAGGCACTGTCCAAAAAGTTATAGTTTTACCTAAGGACCCAACTAGCATGGAGGAACTGACACTAGAGGAAGTGGAGGTTTTCAGGGTATGTCTAAATATGTGTTCCTGAAAAGGCAAAAATACCTTGAACTCAAACACAAAGTCTTGTTGATTAATCTTTTTGCTGTTTATTAATTTACAGACTAGAGCTCCAGTAAAAACAATGAAGATATCCTCTAAAAGAGTAAGCAAATTCAAGACAATAAAGACAAATCAAAGATAAAAGATTGACATTTCAGTGCTTGTACCACAACAGACTCTTCACAGCCTCGCTGAGTTTATTTTGCTTGTGTCACCACAGCAACAGCTGTATGTGTCATCAGACGCGGGGTTGACCCAGGTGTCCCTGCACCGCTGTGGTGTGTATGGCAGGGCCTGCTCGGACTGCTGTCTGGCTCGAGACCCCTACTGTGCCTGGGACGGAGAGAGCTGCTCTGCCTTCACCCCGTCCACCAAGAGGTCAGGGCCATCTCGTATGTTCGCAGTGCACTGTTTCTAGATTATAAGGAAGTCAACTTAATTCTTAATTCTGACCTTTACTCAGGAGGAGCAGAAGACAGGATGTTAAACATGGTGACCCACTGAGGCAGTGCAGAGGCTTTAATGCCAAAGGTGTGACAAACTTTTTGTGTTTAAAGATCATGAACATTACAAATTTTGTTATGTTTTGAGCAGTTGTCACCGTTTCATCTCTCTATCTCTACAGTGGAGAAACGTCTGAGAGAAATAGTGCAGTTTGGGGTGGAGGGCAGCAGTACCTTCTTAGAGTGTCAGCCTCGCTCTCCCCAGGCCACCGTCAAGTGGCTCTTCCAGAGGGATGGAAAGAGGAAATTGGTGAGAAAGAACAATTAAAGGAATAGTTTGGGGACATAAGACTATTCGCTCTTGCAGAAAGTTAGACATGAATATGGATACCAGTCTCACAACAAATACAAGTCTTGTTGACACTGTGAAGTTGCCAGGCAACAGACATACACCACAGAGTCATTGTGTCCAGCCACATAAACCCCCCTGAAACTCCAACATATTGTTCTTACACTTCGGTTTTTGAATGGATTAAACAAACAATATGTAGCAGGTGCTGGTTGGCAGATTGTATTACCTTTGGATAAAGCCAGGCTAGCTGTTTTCAACCTTTATACTAAGCTAAGCTAAGTGTATTTACAGTACAGATATGAAAGTGGTATCAAGAAAGTGAATAAGCAAATTTCCCCAAAAATGATTTTGTCTTTAAGAGCATCAACCCCCTGCCCTCTTTGTACTCTGTATACAAATTGTAATACTAGACTTTCACTTTCCTGTTTTTTTAAGCTCAACCGTGTGGGAGGTATTCTGAAGACCAACCACGGTATCCTCCTGAAGTCTCTCAACCAATCAGATGCGGGGCTCTACCACTGCCTTGCCACTGAGAACAACTTTAAACACACGGTGACCCGTGTGGCGCTGCGCATCCTGGATCGAGACATCGTTTTAGCTCTCACTGCTCAAGATGAGGACGAAGAGCCAAAAACTCGCCAAGTGGGACCTTATACACAGTCATCCCTCGTCTCCACACCCTTCCCACCAGAGATTAGACTGATTAACCAGTACTGCCAGTCCTACTGGGAACAACTCAGTCCCAAACAGCAGCAGCAGCGCAAGCGCACCAGCCGCAGGCACACAGAGAGCCAGGACCAAGGCCTCGGCTAAAGCACAGGACTGATGTTGTCCAACACTGGCCTGTCTGGACTTTATGGTGGACTTTTATGTTTGACATGCATGTTTGTGTGTCACCTCCATTCATTAGGCAGGTGATGGTGCCATGCTGTCGTTAAAGTACCATATTGGTGGTTTTGCAAGCATCAAACTAGAAAATACAAATTGTGTTTATTTTACATTACCAGTGACCACTAACGTACATTTTTAGATCGATTTTCTATTTCAGTTCCTGTTGACATTTGAATCAACTTACAGAATTATTTTCAAACTTCTTCTTCTTGTTAAGTTCAGGTGCTTTCGGGAAACCCCAGTGTCTCTGACTTGAGGATCACGGTGGAAGATCAGTGTTTTTAGTGCAAGAAACAAAACAAAAATTACAAAAAAATCTTTTTAATAAAATAATAAATAAAGAAGAGTTTTCAAAACGCAGCTGGATTGCAATGCAACTATAAAAGTAACAAAGACCGTTCAATTTGAATGATCATTTTAGAAGATGGTAAAATGTGATGTAAAGTATATGCAGCGTGTAGTTAATAGGCTTCAACATGCAAAACCACAGATATGGTACTTTCAAGTATCTTGAAACAGAAATGTAATATATTGATTGTGAATATAATATATATGGTCATTGGATTACTCTTGTATTGTATGAAGATAATATGATGAATGCATATGTTGCATGCATAACTGTTGTTTGTTGCAAGTTGTACATTTTACTGTTGTTCTGTTTTCAACCTTGGTGTGTATTGATGTTCGTAAGGTGTAATGTATTCTGTTAAGCTAATTCCATTGGATGTTGTCATATAATGACTCCCTTACTGTCCTGTGCTCTAGTGACCTACAGTATGTGAGTGTTGAAGATATGTATAGCGTACAGTGTTCTTCCAGTTATGCACTTTGTCGGTGGTGGTATTCGAGGGAATTGGGGATCTTTGCACAGATGTATGAGAAAATGTTACAGGAACATAATGTTTTTTATGTACAGTATGTTATAAAAATGGGAATGAAACCGGCTCATTTTAGTATTGATTGTTGGTGTTCTGTCATATGCTGTGTTTACAGATTTTTCAAATTGCTCTTTTTAAAGGAAGCACGAGGAACAAGAAATTTTCCAGCCAGAGCCACCATTCACCTTCATTGTGAGTAACACAGTGCTATGTGCTGTCATGCTGATGAATCCTACACTGGAAATGTTCAAACAAATATATAAACATTTCAGAAGCCTCTTAAACTTGTGTTCTTTCACTTCCAAGTCTTTTATTATTTGTTTATGTAATGATCCACACACAGTTTCTGACATATACAAGTCATATTCCAGTGTGTCCAAACACATGTAACAGTATTTATTGCAAGGGAGAAGTCTGTAACTAAACTCAAAGTTGAAATAAGTTCAAAATCCATTACTCAGTCATCCCATTCGTCATCGTCCTCGTCATCATCTCCGCCCTCATCTTCACTTTCATCTGAAAGAGAAGACAAATATATTTATAAGATGTGAGACTTTTTTTGGTAATTTGGTTCCAACACACTTGTCATGTAGTTTGAAATTAATGTTCTAATATTTACCAGAAGAATGGATGACTTTACTCCTCTTCTGCATGACCATCATGAGAGCACCAACGATGCCCTCACCTGACTCTGGTGTTGTGGGCGGGGCTGCATCAGGACTGTCTATCACCTATAACACACACCAGGAGAGGAGGAGACTATGATGCATTGCAGCATGACACTTGGAAATTGTGAACTTATATATAGCATGCATAAAATGTTTTTAAGAAAAGGAAGTTGCTTTACATTTCTGAGCTTCTTCCCCAGTCGGATCTGATCCAGCAGTGCTCCTCTGCTTTCTCCTTGTCCAGAGGATGGAGCGGGAGGTGGTGGCGGGCCACCAGAGAGAGGCGGAGGAGGTGGGAAATCTGAAGAAATAGAAGTTTGGGGAGGTGGAGGTGGAGGTGGTGGG